ATAATTTGTTTGACAGAGCCAAATAAAATGAGATTAAAGCGCATATTAATTAACATAGCTCTAATTTGTCTCAAATTGTTTTTTTAATAAATATTTTTTTACCAATTTTGAAAAACAAAAAACATTTAGGTGTTTAAGTTGTTTGGGAAGTTCTTTCCAGAGGTCAATAAATGCAAAGGAAGTCATTTGTTTACCATAGTTTGTTCTAACACGTTTTTTGTGTAAGTTTTGCTTAGATGAATATCTGGTATTGTAGGTATGTACGTCACTAGTATATTGAAATAAACTGTCAAATATACTATATAATACTAGATTGAGCATTCTGCGATTGTTATGCATCAATAGCTTCTTAAGCCAGGAACAGATTTACTAGATTTATGCTATACACGAGACAGAACGAATGTGCAACCATTCGAAAATTGGTCCGCGGTTCCACTGGTTCACACGACAATTCGTACGGTTAGCGAATCGGTCACTTTGTCTGTTCCATGCGTCCCATGTACATGTGAACTCATACATGCGAGAGTCGTGCAGATGTGACTACAGTTGCGTGTAAACGGGGTTTGAAAATATTAATTAGTATAAGTTCAGTGATGTAGTTCGGATATCTGCTAAATAGAATTAATGTGTTAACACAAATTGAATGTCTTATATACTGTATATCTGATTCCCTGCTGTCCTGTAACCTTAATATGATTTAGTAAATATTTAGTCGCATTTCATGATTTTTCACTTGCATTTTGCAAGTAAATTCAACCTTTCATTATAATCATAACTGTCAACAAAGTCGTAATTAATATATTCGAAAGTCCAACGAATATCATTTTCATATTCGATTTATAATCATATAGAGGCAAAATTACTCAAATATGATTGGCTAATGAGGAAGGCATTTTTCTTAATTCAGGGCAAATTACTTGTACCTGATTGGCTGAGGCGCAAGCGCGGGAAGTTTCTTGTTTTGAATAGCAATAAAAACAGTGGCTTCTCGCTTTGTCGTCGCGGATGATGATGTTATTGACGAATTAATTATATAAACTTCTAGTGAAAACATGAACACTAGAAAGAGTACAAATTTATTGGTTGGACTATTTAAGAAATGAACAGCATTAATTAAGGAACATCGGCGAAGACATGGAGACATACGAGGTTCAAGAACTTGACAAGTTCACAATTAATTTGCGAATGAATTTTGCCCTCTACGGTTAACAAGTAATCGCATAGTTCCTCGTAAAATTAAGGTCTAATATCACTTGTGTTTTCAAACTTGTGAAACTTTGAAAACACGAGTGAAATTAAACCTTAATTTTACGAGGAACTATGCGATTTTTGCGATTACTTGTTAATCGTAGAGGGCAAAATTTATTCGTAAATTAATTGTGAACTTGTCAAGTTCTTGAACCTTGTATGTCTCCATGTCTTCGCCGATGTTCCTTAATTAATGCTGCCCATTTCTTGAATAATTCAACCAATAAATTTGTACTTTTTCTAGTGTTCAAGTTCTCACTAGAAGTTTATATAATTAATTCTTCAATAACATCATCATCCGCGACGACAAAGCGAGAAGCCACTGTTTTTATTGCTATTCATATTTTATCCTGCGCTTGCGTCTCAGCCAATCAGGTACAAGTAATTTTGCCCTGAATTAAGAAAAAATGCCTTCCTCATTAGCCAAACATATTTGAGTAATTTTGCCCTCTACATGTCATGATTATAAATAGAATATGAAAATGATATTCGTTGGAAGAAAATATAATTTGTGAAACTTTGAAAACACGCGTGAAATTAGACCTTAATTTTACCCGGCCCCATGCGATTACTATACTAATTTCTTTCCGTTTCATTTCAGAATGAAATTGAAGAAACCGAACTTTCATTTCACATGAGACCTCCAAAAGGTACAATTTCAGTTTGCACTGTTAAAAGGTGCTTCGTGCAATTGTCTTCTACAGTTCTACAATGTTCGGTTCATACACAGAAGACCCGTTCCAGACGGGAACTAAGATGGAGGAGTCCGCAATTATATTCGACGAATATGATTTACCTTCTGCGGCCATGGACCTGGACAAAAACCACGGGTTTGGCCCGATACCAGAGAAACGCCAGAAACGAGCTGCCTTTGTGTCTGTTGGGTTGTCTTTGATCATCATGGTTGTCCTCATTGGAGCGTTCACGAAGCCAAAAGACGAACTCTACGTCGTCGAAGGCAACACAAGCATGCTGCATGAAGATGAGATGTTTTGTAGAAAGGATGACCAGTATTATCACGTTGGTATTTTTATCTGGTCTTTAAATCTTATTGGAATTATCTTGGGAGAATTTGTGAACCGGTCGTGTCTGATGTTTGAAGAATATTTTCATTTGTATACTCGGTATGGTGGTAGCAAGAGGAAAATGTTTTATGCATGTTTCAGTGATATTTCATTCAGAGCTGTGTTCTTTGCGACATTGGTCGCATTCGTTATCATTGGCTCCACTCTACTCTCCCAAGGTACGAAATATTTTAAGTTTGAGTATATTGAGATCATTCTAAGCGGTGTTGGAAGCAGCACTCTTGTACTGTATCTTCTCAGTTTGGATACTTTATCTCGTGTGCAAGTTTCCTCTTTGATGGAAAATAACAACAGACTTGTCGCGAACGGCTTAGCATGGTCTTATTACTTCGGTTACTTGAAAATAATTCTGCCAAAATTACATGAACGAATTGCAGAGTCGGAGTGGAAAGACGTCCTGTCTTCCAACAAATTGTTTATCTTAATGCCTCGAGACTGTTGGGCCTATGGAAAGTTGTCAGAAGAAGCAGAAGATGGGAAGATTGAACTTGCTGAAGGTGGAGTTGTTGAAGTTGAGGCTGAAAGAGCAGGAATTTCTAAAAGATCATATCGAAATAATGTTTACAAAATAAAAATTGACGATTGTGAGCCTCTGCAAGTCTTGGCTGAGTACGCAACACCGCTGTGCTCAATGTACGACATGAACCATTCAGCCGAGGCGAATCTCAGCGTAGAAGACCGGGACGAACAAGCCAAGTTGTTTGTGCGCACACTCGAAGCGATCCTGAGGAATCCTTCTGTGCCTGAAGTCCGGAATAAATGTAAGTTGGTGCCGTATGCAAGATCCCCAGATTCAGATGTGCCTGTTTCCAAGGTCTTGGCTGATGCTGTTTTAGATGATATGAAAGAAAATAGTTCTTTGGATAGTCTTGATGGAATTGTGGAAGAAAATACATTTTGAACTTTTTATAAATAATTAATGTTGGTTGAAGAGATTCTTGTTAGACAAGCTGGACAGTGCAGTCCACGGTGCATGGCCATGTCTAATATAGCTACAAGCGCTCTGGTTAACAGAATGACCAAATGTTCGTTATATGTGTAGCAAAACTGAACACAAACCTCTATTGATGTAGTCTATATCATAAAACTAGGTGCATGTGATTGATTTAGAACTGGATTCAACCCCCCTGCTCTAGGGTGAAAGCACAAATGAAGGGATTTGCATAATCACATTGAACAATATTTAAGTTCTGAAGAGGGCTAAAAAGGACCTCGGATCGGACTATTTTATGAATGTATAGTATGAACTGGGCTGCGTGACTTTGCTGAGGGTTCATTATGTTTCTGTCTTAAATTAAAAATGTAGTTGAAATTCATAAATACTATTTATATTATGCATGCCTCACGTCTAGTTAACTTGACAATAGTGTCATGGAGTTATCAGAATATTGGTGTATAAATCAATTTGTTGTATACATCGTAAACGTGGGAAACCACAACATTCACATACAACATTGCCAGACTAATAGCTGGCTTTACGCATTGAAGGACTAATCTCCGAAATGCAACTAACATAACTTAACAAGTCGTTCTCAGCTTGACCTTGTAGCTCAGACGGTAGAGCATCGTTCTAGCTAGAAATGCGAAGGTCGCGGGTTCGAATGGCAGCCGCGGTCAAGTAGAATTATATATGTATATATATATATATATATATATATATATATATATATATATATATATATATATATATATATATATATATGTATATATATATATATATATA